CCCCAAGTTGAACTCTCTGTGACCCCTGGTTTCCCAAAAACTAAGTCGGTGACCTTTCACCTAATTAGTGAGGGATTTGACCTTGTGTGACCCCCAAGTTGAACTCTCTGTGACCCCTGGATTCCCAAAAAATAAGTTGGTGACCTTTCACCTAATTAGTGGGGGGATTTGACCTCTCGTGACCCCAAGTTGAACTCTCGCGACCCCAAGTTGACCTCTCTGTGACCCCAGGTTTCCCAAAAACTAAGTTGGTGACCTTTCACCTAATTAGTGGGGGGATTTGACCTCTCGTGACCCCAAGTTGAACTCTCGCGACCCCAAGTTGACCTCTCTGTGACCCCAGGTTTCCCAAAAAATAAGTTGGTGACCTTTCACCTAATTAGTGGGGGGATTTGCCCTCGTGTGACCCGCAAGTTGAACTCTTTGTGACCCCTGGATTCCCAAAAAATAAGCTGGTGACCTTTCACCTAATTAGTGGGGGGGTTGACCCCTCGTGACCCCAAGTTGAACTCTCTGTGACCCCTGGATTCCCAAAAAATACGTTGGTGACCTTTCACCTAATTAGGGGGGGGGTTTGGCCTCGCGTGCCCCCCCCCCCCCCAGTTCAACTCTCTGTGACCCCTGGATTCCCAAAAAATACGTTGGTGACCTTTCACCTAATTAGGGGGGGGGTTTGGCCTCGCGTGCCCCCCCCCCCCCCAGTTCAACTCTCTGTGACCCCTGGATTCCCAAAAAATACGTTGGTGACCTTTCACCTAATTAGGGGGGGGGTTTGGCCTCGCGTGCCCCCCCCCCCCCCAGTTCAACTCTCTGTGACCCCTGGATTCCCAAAAAATACGTTGGTGACCTTTCACCTAATTAGGGGGGGGGTTTGGCCTCGCGTGCCCCCCCCCCCCCCAGTTCAACTCTCTGTGACCCCTGGATTCCCAAAAAATACGTTGGTGACCTTTCACCTAATTAGGGGGGGGGTTTGGCCTCGCGTGCCCCCCCCCCCCCCAGTTCAACTCTCTGTGACCCCTGGATTCCCAAAAAATACGTTGGTGACCTTTCACCTAATTAGGGGGGGGGTTTGGCCTCGCGTGCCCCCCCCCCCCCCAGTTCAACTCTCTGTGACCCCTGGATTCCCAAAAAATACGTTGGTGACCTTTCACCTAATTAGGGGGGGGGTTTGGCCTCGCGTGCCCCCCCCCCCCCCAGTTCAACTCTCTGTGACCCCTGGATTCCCAAAAAATACGTTGGTGACCTTTCACCTAATTAGGGGGGGGGTTTGGCCTCGCGTGCCCCCCCCCCCCCCAGTTCAACTCTCTGTGACCCCTGGATTCCCAAAAAATACGTTGGTGACCTTTCACCTAATTAGGGGGGGGGTTTGGCCTCGCGTGCCCCCCCCCCCCCCAGTTCAACTCTCTGTGACCCCTGGATTCCCAAAAAATACGTTGGTGACCTTTCACCTAATTAGGGGGGGGGTTTGGCCTCGCGTGCCCCCCCCCCCCCCAGTTCAACTCTCTGTGACCCCTGGATTCCCAAAAAATACGTTGGTGACCTTTCACCTAATTAGGGGGGGGGTTTGGCCTCGCGTGCCCCCCCCCCCCCCAGTTCAACTCTCTGTGACCCCTGGATTCCCAAAAAATACGTTGGTGACCTTTCACCTAATTAGGGGGGGGGTTTGGCCTCGCGTGCCCCCCCCCCCCCCAGTTCAACTCTCTGTGACCCCTGGATTCCCAAAAAATACGTTGGTGACCTTTCACCTAATTAGTGTGTGTGGGGGGTGGGTTGACCCCTCATGACCCCAAGTTGAACTCTCTGTGACCCCTGGTTTCCCAAAAACTAAATTGGTGACCTTTCACCTAATTAGTGTGTGTGGGGGGTGGGTTGACCCCTCATGACCCCAAGTTGACTTCTCTGTGACCCCTGGATTCCCAAAAAAATAAGTTGGTGACCTTTCACCTAATTAGTGTGTGTGGGGGGTGGGTTGACCCCTCATGACCCCAAGTTGACTTCTCTGTGACCCCTGGATTCCCAAAAAAATAAGTTGGTGACCTTTCACCTAATTAGTGGGGGGAGTTGACCTCTCGTGACCCCAAGTTGAACTCTCGCGACCCCAAGTTGACCTCTCTGTGACCCCAGGTTTCCCAAAAAATAAGTTGGTGACCTTTCACCTAATTAGTGGGGGG